GTCATGCCTGTATCTGTATCCCATATTTGCCACAACCTTTCTGTATCTGCATTTGTGTATTTCGGTTTCAGCTGATACATTTGATTTGGCGTGTAATTTGTTCCAGTTAATGGATTAATTGGGAGATCTTCATGCGGTGTGTTATTATTGTACTCCCAAATAAAGGCAGGAATAGCCTGAATGCTTTGGCAGCGCTCCAATGTCGGCCAGAATCTCTCAATCTTCCCATTTTGGTAGGGAGAATGAGAGTCTGTATGCCGCCATTGGACGCCCCAAAGATCAAGTAGATCTTGAAAGGCGCCCCTATTTTCTGAACCGTTGTCGGTCCAGAAACAATAAGGGGCGCCAAATTCAATGAAGGCGGAAGCCGCAACGTTCGCTGTCGTCGCTGCCAGCATATCTGGTATTTGTATACACGCTAGGACTTTGCGGCTAAAATCGTCGATTATGCCATAAATATACTGGCCACGAACACCCCTAAAATAATGAACATCTGCGTGCCAGATAAGATTGGGTGAAAGCGCCAATATCTTACTGCTGTTTCTGGCCCGGCATGCTCTAATTGCGTCTTGGTGAAATGATTTTCTTTGAAGTATCTGCGTACTTCTCTATAAGATACATCAATTTGTTGTAATTTCAAACGTTTCCATTGTTTTGTTTGACCACAGGGAAAGGCCCAGTGGTCATGTATCACAGCAAGAGCTTTGATTTGGTCGTAGGGATTGACCCTACGACCTTTCTTGCCTTTAGGCAATGGGATATTCTGTAAGCTAAATTGATTTTGTAAAAAAGATTTTGAAACATCTAAATATTTGAAATCATTTGATTGAAGGGTTGGGGCGATGGAACATGGGTGCAAGCTTCTTCCCATGTCATTTTACCTTCTTCAATCTGATTGGAAATACCAATTAGGTAAATTCGATCGACATACCCTTTGTAAGGATTCATTCTAATGAAGTACGTTAACAATCAAAATATTCTATAAGTGTCTAGTATGGAATTCAAAAGAATAAAGAAAATGGTAACGTAAATAAACGTATTATGAAATAATTTATAATTAAAATGAAAAAAAAGAAAAAATAATAAGTAAAGTGACTGGAAATGAAAATTAAAATCAGTGTACAGTTTTATTTTTTTCTTGCTGTGAAACGTATTCGGTCATTTTTTTTAAAATTAATTTTTTGTTAGAGATAAGAGCTAAAACTCGGTAAACAACTTCTTTATGTCTAGAAAATTCTATCTTGCCTTTTATTTTTTTCTCGCTGTGAAACGTATTCGGTCATTTTTTTTAAAATTAATTTTTTGTTAGAGATAAGAGCTAAAACTTTGCAGACAACTCCCCCATGTCTAGGAAATTTAACATTCGTCTCCCATTTTTATATATTTGGTTTAGAATGTTCGAAAATGCGTAATATGGCCATTAATATTAATTGAAAAGAACCTTGAATTAATTCAATCTGATCTCACAAAATATTTTAAATTACAAACTTTTAAGTTTGAATAGATAATTAGTATTAAACTCAAATAACTAGTTTATTTTTGAATAAAAATTATTTGAATTTATTCAATTTTGTGAATTTTCCTTCAAAAATCAAGTTTAAATATCATATTTGCCATATAATTATAAATACAATGAAACATATTCGAAATTGAAAAGAACGACTTTTTCTGTTCTTTCAATCATTCAATTTGAATTTTGCAATATTGGATTTCTCATTAAATAGCTATTAAAAACAACAAGCAATTTAACTTACATTCAAATTTATTTGTGTTATATTCAATCTTCTCAAAACTTATAATTTTCGGCTATAGCATGATTATATGCTATATAATATAATAAACCAATAATAGTATCATTCTTTCAATTATTTGAAGAGAAAACCGAAAAAATCTATTTTCGGTCGATAACATAATGGGCTCATTCTACCGTCAAATTTCGCTTTTATTCTTGGTGTTCATTTCCATACTGCGATCTACTTGTAAATGACATCCTTATTCAATTTTTTTTGATTTAAATAGAATTGTCAAATCTTTTTACAATTTGCTCAATTGTAAATTCTTCAATTTTTGTTCGAATAGTCATTTTAATTTATTCTTTGTTTCTCAAAGTTCATTTTTCATCTGCACGTCACCTAACCAATCTCGTTCTTTCGGTTTAAAGCGAAATATTTCATGTTTTTAAAAATTATTTTTTACTGGAAAATTTATATGGTTTTGTTGCATGCTAAGTTCGGTCAATGATAGAAATTGAGTGGAAATTAATCGTCGAGGAAGTACGATTATGTAAAGTAAAAAAATGTTGTGGGATTTTTAATATTATATATTATTTTATAATAAAATTTTTTTGAGTCATTTTAAGAAGCACATATAATTTTTTGAATTTAAAAATTAAAGTAGTGTCAAACGAATTTATCACTTAATTTAATACTCAGATTTCTTAAAATTAATGAAAAAAAGGTTTTCTGAGAACTTTTGAGAATGGTTTTCAAATTCCATTATTGAAAATATATAGGTATTGTATGAAATTCCAACTCTATATTTATTAAAATTCTAAATTTTTAATAAAATAACTTTTCAGAGGAATATGATTTTGAATGGTTGATTAATAAGTATAAAAATGTCTACGATTTTAAGGAGGGACTTGTTCCTTATGAGGTATACATCATAACTATATACCTCATAAGGAACAATTCCCTCTTGATAGCTGGGAAACTTTCTCTGAATAACTTATCATTTGGAGAAAGTTCCCCAGCTATCTATTAGGAACTAAAGGCTATGAGGCACTAATATATAATCAGTGCCTCATAGCCTTTAGTTTCCTATTAAAAACGAGAAAACTTGTTCGAAATGATAAACAATTTCGAACAAGTTTTCTCATTTTAAGGAGGGAATTGTTACTTATGAGGTATACATCATAACTATATACCTCATAAGGAACAATTCCCTCTTGATATCCTGGATATTTTTGAATATATTTTTTTAATTAAAGTTCTCAAAAGTATTATCAAAAGTGATTTTTAAAAATATCTCCAATTAATTAACTAATTAAAAGTATTATATTTTTAAAATTAAATAGTTTTTCAATTTTTTTGAAGGAATTGAGATACTTCCCACGACAATAAAATTGAGAGGTTTACATTATGACTGATCTTAGCATGCAACAGTTTTGCTAGTGTTATCTAATATTTATTCATTTTCTTTCCATCCCAATATTACCCAGATTTTCCTTACTTTTACCACTCCCCATGTAATTTCTGGGGAAAACGATAATTCATTTTTTTTATGGATGAATAGATCGTTTTCCTAGAAAGGACCTCTTATCTCTGGCTAAAAAGAGTGTCAGATCCTAAATAGGTTATTGATCTAGTGTACAAATCCAATAAAAAGCCTATTTTTTTGGCTTTTTTGGTGCTCATTTTTTCGAAGATCTACATGAATATTGGGAAACCATCGGATTTTTTTGGTTAACCCACATCTTCATGTAGTCTGGACTATCTTTCCTCGAAGGACCTCTTTACGGGTGTAAAAACTCATAAAGTTCTCAAAAGATTCATTCTCGATCTCCATGCTGAAAGAATTTACAATAAAAAAGAGATCTACGCATCAAACTACAGCCATAAATGAACTGAACCCCTAAAGCTCAGCTCTTAGTTTATCAAAAACGTCGAAATCCTTCTCATTGCAATCAAATTTTCTCAATAACTCATAAGAAAAATCGAATTTTGATTAAGCCGATGTTATAGGTATCACAAATACTACAAACTTAAGCAATATCGAAATTGCCAGCAAAAGTTTGAAATTGCATTGCTCATATTTGTTTTGTAAACTAAAAATCTGCTTATATTATTCATTAATTTTTTATATATTATTCATATACTTTAATAAAAACAATACTATTTCACCTTAAAAATGAATTTCATAAGTCAATATTATTTTTTTGAAAATGTATCAATTTTCGATTAAAACAACATGAGAATAAAATTTACGCAAAATTATTTTAAAAAATGGTTTTAAAATTTACAATTGATGAAGAATAAGATTGCAAGAAGTTTTGAAGTTTAATTTTAAGAAAAAAAAATTCGGATATTATTCATGGATCTAAGTAATTTGATATTTGAGTATCGGCACTATGCATAAAACATATATTTATAGTTTTTTTGGATTTTTATGATTTTAAATATATTCAAATTTGGCAATCCAATAGATTTTTAAAAAATAGGTAAATAAAAATAGATTACATATGCAGCAGATTTAGAACATGAAACAAATCTTATAGTGACCCAAAAAAAAATTCATGATCCAAAAAAGAAAAAAATTAGCTAAATAGCAATCAAACCTTGGCATAATGAATCATTATGTCGGATGTTTCCACTACGCTACACCGGCAGTTCGAAAAATGCCCTTGGTGGTTCTATTTAATAGCTACTCCCAACGATAGGCGGTGTCCCCAGCTTTAGAGGGGTGGTAAAAGTTAGGAAAATCTGGGTAAAAGTCATTTTCAAAATAAATCTTCCATCTAATATAAGGAAACCTGCAGATAATTAATAAGAATTATGGTAAACTGTTTTCTATCTCTAATTCCTGCGTTCGATTAAAATTTTTAAATATATCAATTTATTTCATATTTCAAGATTGCACTTATATTATCCATCATAGAACTTTATCAATTTAGTATTGTGATATGACTATTAAATTATTATGTACGAAATGTATTCTTATTTTTTAATTTTCTTATGAATTCATGCAAGCACCGATATTTTATCATTTCAATATCTTCACAATCATAAATTTTGAAAATAAGCCAATGATATCAAAGAATGAATCTAATGAATTCATATTTCTTTGAAATTCTAAGAGTTTCTTGCTTCTCAAATTCAAATTATCATTTAGTATGATTAAAAATGATAAGAAATATTATCGGAATATACAAACAAATTTATAAAATAGATCTGATAAATGAACATCAATAAAATAATATCAGTATTCAAAGCCAACTTAATCTATAGATTAATTGCAGGCTCTTCAATATCATCCTTATATTGGTTAGGAGCCCTTTCATCATCACGATGAATTTTTATAACTATAACAGTCACTCCGACTGCTGTAAAAACTGTTACAACAGAAAAGATTGAGGAAACTGTTATTACTATTGATTTAATATTTGCTGAGTTAGAATCGGATGAATCCTTATTCTTTGTTATTGAATTTGTAGGTGATGGAGCTAAAGTTTGGGTTATTGTTGGCAATGGCTTTGTGATTGCTGCGTCATTCTGTTTGTAGTTTAATCCTGGAATTATCGGGCAAATGGATTCATTAAAGGTAAAATTAGAAAAATCATCATGGGAACTTATTTTAGAAATATAGAATGATTGTATTAGCAAAGAGCATGGATTCTGAGGAAATGCACTAAGCACTTGAACTGATAAGATCCCCTTGGAGATATTTTGGGTTTCATCAATTTTAATGTCGATGTAACCAGAGTTGTGATCTGAGAAACGGAAAATCATCTCTTTGGTTTCATAGTTAACTAGTGTGAAGAGAGCTAACGAGCTTTCATATGAATCAGTAAAATAAGGTATTGAATAATTCATGTTTTTATCTAATTTGATATACTGATGTGAACTATAGTTCAATGACGTGATGCTGAATGGGCCACAGCTACATGAATCAATACCTTTGGTAACATTAATGATGTTTACGTGAAAAGTTATATTTGCTTTACCTGCAAGGTTATGCGGTGGAAGCATTTTAAAATTATTTATTTGTCCTGCACTTTCAAATTGCTTGAAACCAAGCAATGTCTTTAAAGGATTATCTGATTCGATTGAATAATATAGAACTGCTGGCTGGTTTTTTAGCCCATTTATGGATGATAATTGGAAACTAATATAATCACTTGAGTTAAGAACTGAGTTCGCGTGGAAGTTTTTAAGTGATAATGAGCAGGATTGACTTTCTTTATATAGATTACTATGAGAAGGTCGAATTGGTTGAGAATCAATCTCAGTGTTCTTAGACGATGTCCTTATTAATCTTTTCTGTACATTCAATATGTCATTAATTGAATCACAGCCAAAAACTTGAAGCTTTGTGCGATGAACCCTTCCCATTGGAATGCATCCTGTTGAATATATTATTATATTCCATGTTCCAATTCCATTTTCTCCTAAAAAAGCTCGGACATTAAATCCATATACTCCCATTTCATCATTTATTGGCTGTGTATCTGCGATATTATTAACTACAACTCTTGTTCCACTGGGAGATATAAGTTCGATTATGATATCACCAATTTTTGCATGTGTCGTTTCGATAATCAGAAAAACATTCTCGACAACCTTAATTTTTTTGGTTATAGTGTGTGAAAAATTCAAGGGGCTGCCTCTGCATGAAGGTATTACTGGATCTTCGTAAATGTTTTCCGATTCTAAAAAAAGCTCTGATGGAAGACCAGGAAAAGTCTTAGCAAAATTAACTGCATTTGCAACATTAAGCCTTCCGAATCCGTAATGGTTTGAATACTTTACACCAGCTGCATTTGTTATCCAACTTGAATGATTAGCATCATTAACAGTAGAGCTGAGAGAGATAATGAACTGAAGTTCTCTCCATGATAAAAATTGATCTATCTCTAAGATATTGGAAAGTGCACCTGCTGCAATTGAATATGCCGCATCCATTTTCCTCACATCTGATTCATTTCCGTTTTGCATCATATTTGACATAAACTCATTAACAGTAATTTTTGATCCATAATCAATGGAAGTGTCAGTTGACGGAACATTAAATAATATATTGGCAGAAATCGGAGAATAGAACGCTCGATCACCTCTATTTGTAGTGGCAGCTACATTAAGCGAAAACCTCATCTGAGTAAGAGAACGATAATTAAAATCAGAAAAACCGTATTTACTCGAAGATGGGGTTATCAGATTAATCCAGCCTAGACCATTTCGTCCATGTACAAAATTTGAGCCAAAAGAGCTCTGTAATGCATCATTGGATCAACTTGGATTTGATTTTGAGGATGCGACTTTGATATATGGAATAGATTGATATTTTTCAATTTCGATTGCTCGTTTTGTAGATATGATGTAATATTATAAATTGCGTCTGAAAAATTCGAAGGTATATTATTGCATGTTATAGTATCGTCTGTAGGATAATTAAGTGTGCTTTGGTTTGACATTGTACTCAATATTATATTCTTCATTCCTTGAATGTGGGGTTCCATTTGAGTAAAATTTTCAAATTTTGATTTTATATGATTTTGAGCCTTATCATGAGTTAAGCATTCACTTGAAAACAATCCTATTTCAATTTTCTGACCATTGATTCCGCAATTCCAAACTGGAACAAGATTTAGATCTTCATCTTGATATCCATCACTTTGTCCAATATTCTTGATGTAGAATGGATATGGGTTACTTTCACGTGGATTTTCAATCGGCAATACGAGCATAATGGGGAAAGATAAGACCAGCAAGAGCATTAAAATCAATTGTTGTAAACTTATGAAAAAATCTAGATTTTTTTGATAGAAACGCTTCCCCACACGTTTCAAAATTTTTATCGAAGATAAGATTTATCGCAAATCCTATTGTCTCAACAGTAATTAACATGTTTTTCTAAACTAAGATTTATAGAGGTTTTAAGATCCATCACAATTTTGTACTGTATCGTATTTATGAAGGGTTTGCGAAGGAATTGCACTGGGAATATCTCGCTCTAAAAGTTATCTGAAATAAAATCCCAAGTAACCTTTCATCGATAAATCGAAGAAAATCAATTAACAGTCATTGTATTTATATTTGGCAGCATTAATTACTTTAATATGAGCAAGATTGAAAGAAAACTCTCTTTTTATTAAATTTTCAATTATCAAAAAATCAAGAATTTGTACTATATGCCTAAATATGGTATAGGTTAAAAAGATGCAATATATTTTCAATATATATATATCCGAGTACATAAGTTTATCAATCGACATGACCTAAAATTTCAGGTTAATTTGTGGACATAGATTGCATAAATTGATAGTGCTATTATCACGATAAGTTTGATGCGTTGTTGTTAGTCAAGTAAACTTTGTTATCAAAATGATAAACTTTCAATGGGTATTGAACAATAAAATATTATCTAGTAGGTTTAAAATTGTTAAAATATATATGGGTTGTTTATTGGACCTTAAAAAGAACATGAAACTTTATTAGTTAATTGATATCAGATTCAGATCGTTACGGATATTACGAAATATATCTAGCTTGTGGTATATTGGATATTAGATTTAAGGGTGCACACGAGATGATCATGTAAACTTCAGAATTTAGAACCTTATTTTTGGGCATTATCTTGGCTACCTATTTAGGCTCGAAAAGCAAAAAATATCAAAAAATACAACTTGAGTCCATTATGACCCTTTCATGGAGGTAGTTTTTATCCGCTAGTATTTTCCCTTTGAATCTCTTTACAATTCGAAATCAAATTCAAAACTCAGTAGAAGAAAGGAAGAATCGACTTACTACGGTTGTAATACGAATAAATACATATATTTAATTATTTTTATTTACATAATAATTGTTTGAAGCTCATATTCCAACAAATTTTTAAATAAAAACATTAAAATGTTGAAAATGTTCATATATTTTAATAGGGTTTTGGCACTTTATTGAGGAATTACTACATACATAGTCGAACTGAACTTGATATTTTGAAATTTAAATTATTTATCAAAATTAAAATTTAACTTGAAATTTATAATTATTTAGTCATATTTTGCATAATTCTAAGTAGATTTTGTAAAAAATCAAGAAAGAAAAATTTTAACGTGCTTTATTTTTTCTTTTTTATAATAATACATATTATTATATAATTAACATATTCATAATGTTTCACCCTTTCAAAAATATAATCCTCCTCCTCTCAAATAAACGTACATACGGGTGGCCTCTTTTTTCAAAAAATTAAAATTTGAAATTTTGGGCTCAAATATTAGAGATTTTTTCAACCTTCAACGATATATGTTGTATATATCAGACCTCCTTTCTTTTTGATACTTAACATTGTTCCTAAATCTTAGCCGTTAAGGCTGTTCTGAAAATATTTTTTTCGAAAAAATTCGAAAAAAATTCTTAAAATTCAAAAATCCCTTAATTCCTGAGGATTTTGGAAAAAAGTTTTTACATGAACATGTGTATATTATATGAAGTATATTGATAAGGTAAAAATCAAATTTTATTGCATATTCATCGAGAAAATAAACTAACAAATCCCTCAAAATTGAGAGGGTAATCCTCCTCCTCTCAAATAAACGTACATACGGGTGCACCCTTAAACAGATTTCGTAAAGAGAATTAAATAAACAATGGTAAAATTTTAATATAAACCGATGATAACAATATCTATATAATTCTAACAATGAGGCAATATGATAAATTATTACTCCATATCATTTCGTATAAAAATAAATATTATTAAAAGAAGCAGGGCTTATTATCTATCTTCGTTAATTGATAAGATTGTTGATATCAAAGAAAGACATTGGATCCTTTGGAGGTTCTTTGTCGCGATTTAATCTCTCTTTCTTTCTTTGAAGGTATAAAAACCTGTTCTTAATGCATGTATTTGTCCTTCCTGGGAAGAAATGTGAAATTTTCATCCACTGTGAACCAAATATTGAATAGCAATGCTGCAATAATTGATCTTCTGATTCGCTCCAAGCGCCATTATTGACATTTGGAGATAAATAATAATTCCATCTCTCGTAGCATTGTCTTTCATTTCTGTTTGGAAAGCATCTGGCAACAGCTTTCCAATTAACTTTTTCCATTGTAGCCACGATTTCTTTAAGGCGCATATCTTCGTGTATAGACCATTTATTGTGCCTTGTCTTTTTTGGAAGATCAAAAGACTGAGGAGTAGGTTCTTGTTCAACAACAGACATTTTTGTAACTTTTCAATGTTCACTGAATTTGAAAGTTTCTTATTTTTAATCAATTAACACTACATGACTTTTAAATCAAATTTACTTCGATTTTATAAATGCGGTATGATCATTCAATATTTTTATTATCATTCAATGGGTATCCATTATCAAATTGTCGATAATTGTGTTGGTATATCATTATTGGCATTGCCCCCTTTACAACATACGTGATCTGAAGTACAATTGAAATTAAATCGATGCTCAGAAATTTGATTAATTATCAATTGAATTTGGATTCGTTAATCGTTTTTCATCCCATTAATGATATTGATAAACATTTTGCAATTAATTTTTTTATCATGAAACCATCGGGTTAAATGACTTTTGAAGTGTAAATTAGCCAATATTCAAACAAATCGTTTAAAATCACTTCATTGAATTTCTACAAAACACGAAAAATCATTACGAGAAATGAGAATTCATTGAGATTCGATCAACATAGTTTTCTGTTTTGGTTGGAATTTATTAATGAAGGCGATTTGCTAGAATTTGTCGTGAAAAACAGACGGTTATCTAAGAATTTAATATCAAAACAAAATAATTTTATTAAAATAATTATATATAACAGAAAATAATTATATAAATTATGAGAGGTGAGAAGTTCACATTAAAGGAAGTCTACCTCCATATGATGAATTCAATAACTTGAAATATGGCTTCAAAATATTTTTCTTAAAATCAGAAAATTCTGGATTATTATTCAGAACGGTAAGTTGAAAACTCTTTCCTCCTTCGACGATATCATTAATTAAACAAAGACAATTCATTTTTGCAGCGGAATGAGTTTCATAAGAAGCAATTTCTAACAAAACAGGGCATATCTGAGGAAATAAATATTTGGCAAATGTTTCCCATTTCAATGCCGATCTTATTAATCTAAATAATGAACATTGTAGATTTGTAGAATCAGGAAAGTCAACCATGAGCCTGGTAAATGTGCCTTGTATCTGTCTGTTGTGGTATTCTGCTTCGTTTTTATTTTCTATGTTTAATAATTTTGTCAAAAAGTCAAGAGCGCAAACAATGTAAGAATGGATCTCTTGGAAGGGTTCTGTAATTATATTTAATGCTAATGGTACAACAGATCGTAAATATGGAGCTGTATCGTCTTGTGTCATTGTTGAAAGCGCTTGCCAAACATTCTGACGTAAAAATAAGTTATCTGATAAACTTAATACTGCTAGTCGATCAACGAAAACATCACGCCTAAATGAAGGGCCAATAATTGGATTTTTCGAAGCATGACGAACAATTCTGCAAAGACTTGCGTATTTTTCAGGACTACAGTTTCCATCGACCTCGAGGAGAAACAAATCTGCGAATAATGAATTTAAAAGCATTTTGTGAAATTTTATCATTGGAGAAGAAGATTGAGTCACACTGATATATAAATCTAGCACTCCAGAGTTATCTAAGAATGGTAGTAATTGTAGAAATAAATTAACGCATATAGAATTTGGTTCATAAGTTGTGTTCAGAATACACAGTAAAATATTTGCAACTCGGCTGATTAAATGTGGAGGTGGATCATGTGCTAGAGCATCCGTAGCTTTGGTATATATAAGATCGCCATCTAAAAGCATTTGAATTATATCATCAGGCGAATTCACAATTATTATAAATGCATTATTAGAATAAATGTCATTTTCATGAGATAAAGCGAAGTCTAATAGCGTATTGAGGTTCGTTTTCGTACTGTTTGTTAGAAATAAAAATGAACAAGTTAATTAAGCCTTGAAGAGGTTTTTTTATTGAGGCGTAAAGGATTTTGCTCTCTAGGACTTCTTTAACTGACTGTTCTTGCTCCTCAATTTCTAAAACCGGTGGTGGAGAATTAGAATTTTCTTGATTCAAAATCGAAAAATGGAGAAAAAAATCGTTTTAAAAGAACAAGAATAATGAAATAGCGTAATGGCATATATCTGATTATAAATTTGAATTTGATTTCATTTTTGGCCAAAATTCTTTGGTAATAAGGGGCGTACCATAGAATATTGTGTAGTTTACAAATGAAAATGGTCACTTGGTTTGAAAAAATAATTATGGTTTAGCTTGTTTTTAGATCCAGAACAAGGTGCACACTTCTAATTTATATAGCTCAATACAACCATTTTGCAGAATCTATGAGTAACTGACAAATGGAATTAACCTCGAATTTATGATCATACATTATGATTACTCAACTATTTATTTCATTGTTGTTTATTCTGTCTAATGTATGATATATAATTCTAAAATAAAACTTGTTTCAATATCATTAACATAAACATAATACTGAATCCTGATGATAGTAATAGTTACTGATTTATTAATAGGAGTGCATTCAATATATGCTAAGTTCTCATATATGCTCTTCAATAAATTGAAACCTGGAGTGAAATTTAAGATCAAGCCTGGTCTTAGAAATCTCTTGAGGTACATACACATATGATTTTATTTATAGTATTGAATAGGTTCATTTGATAGTAATTAAAAAAGATCGATCATTTTTTATATCATAAAAAAGTTATTGATAAATTCTGGACCTATATCTGGTTGCCTTTATCATATTCGATGTAATGAATTTGAATAAATTGAAAGTTTCTGAATTAATTCTGCAATAAGAGTAGAATTATGTTTATCTGGGTTGATGAAATACCATTCGTGAAAATAATTCATCATTTAAATTTTATCGTTCAAATAAATAATTTTATGGTTGTTTGACCAAATAATGTTTTGAAATTAATTATATTAAAATAATGAATCAATATAATAATAATACATGGTGTGTCAAATACAAGATTTGAATTGTTATTTGAATTTTTTGAGGGAAAAATAATCTATAGCTCATTTTGTTCCTTGTTCCAAAAACAATCTAACTGAAAAATAAAATGTATTCTCTTCTTCTCAATTTTTGGTTCTCAATTTTTTGATAACTATCTTTATATTTGTGATAAAATAGCTATTTATCATTGAACTAATCTAATTGTAGCAAAATAAAATGTAAGCATAAAATTCAGTACAAACGTTGATACCAAAAATTTTCATTAATTCAACAAGCAAGAATAATTTGCATCATTAAGTGTAAAAATTTCCGACGATCTCAATTTTAAAATATTTCAATTTTTCTATTCTCCACTCAAATCAAAAGTTTTAAATTATGTAATATTTCTTATAAAATAGCTAGTTGACTTTAATAAAATTTGTCATAACCGCCACTTCTTAAATATTATTGAATGATCTTTCAAATCGAAATAAAAATAATTATCATGAATGCTCGTGACGAGAGTTACCTTCTTAAGAAAGGATTCGAGTTTAGGGATATCATTGGTGCAGGTGGTAGTGGAGTAGTATATAGGATATATGATCCAGCTTATCATTGTGAGTTTGCATTGAAATCCATTTTTCGAAGCAAATTCAATCAATCTGAGATTGATATAATGAATAAATTGGAAGATAGCAATCTCGTACGTTTATATAACTACGAGTTCTATGAAGATTCAGTTTATTTACTAATGGAATATTGTCCAACATCACTTCATGACATCCTTCGCCAAAAGAAGAGACTCTCTTTTGAACAGCTGCGGAAATATTCTATTGGAATCCTTAAAGCAGTTAAAGCCTGCCATTCCAATAAAATTGCTCACAAAGACATTAAGCCGGCCAATTTCTTAATTGACCAGTATGACAGAATCCGCCTTTGTGACTTCGGATTATCATCAGTTCAGCTGGACTCGGCTCTTGACAAGAACTTTGTCGGTTCAGTCCCGTTCATGGCCCCTGAAATTCTGATGAGGAAGCCACACGACGCCTTCAAGACAGACATATGGGCTGTCGGGGTCACATTCTTCATCATGGCCACTGGAATGCTCCAATGGCAGGAAAGGATCGCATTACTTTATGTAATAATTTGTTATCATCTTCTCCTTGTATCGAATATATAAAAGATCAAAACTATGCAAGTATTGTTAATGCTTGTTTATCGGCAGATCCAGCTGCAAGACCAACAGTCGAACAGTTGTTAGATTTACCGATATTTAGGGAATCGTCAATGCTAATTATACAAAAAAGAAACAGAAACAGATATTTGGCAATAGCAAAAAATCATATCAGAGCCCAAAGTTCTATGATAATTAAGCCAAACTTGCAAGATAAGGGCAAAAATACTCTTCAGTAGATAATTTTTGCGGAATTCTTTTGTATTTGTGTTTGTTTTATACTAAACATGTATGTTTAAGTAATTGCTTCTTTTATAGACTTATACGCATCCGATTTTTTGACCAAGGAACAAATATGAAAAAAAAAATGTGCACTTAGTTCAATCACAATGGGGAAATTTTATAAAATCAAAGTAAAAATGCATTGAATATAATAAGATTCATGGTTTACATGATAAAAAAAGAAATTCATGAATAAAATAACGATAATAAACACAAAAACAATTAATTACGTACTCATTCATGGGAAATTGTGTAAAACTCTTTCCTTCTGAAAGAAATAATATCAGAAGAAGAAATGTTTGAATCATCTGTCCAATTCAGCAAAGACTGAATGTTGCTTGGATCAACAGTAGAGTTTTTAAGTACCTTGGGAACTGTGATATAAAACTCAGGCAATAGTTCATATTCGGATTGGTTTTCGGTTTTGCGGATGATATTTGCTAATTCAAGGATAGCAACAGCCTGAGAAATCTTGCACCTGGTAGTTTTTTCCTTTCCATTTCCATGAGAAATGTATTTTGAAGCTTCAATGATATTTAATCTACGTCGCTCAATAGCAATGAACAAAAAAATAATATCTTCGGTCATGGATTGGATAGAAATTGGTTCTTGAGATAAACAAAAAATATCGTTCAGGGTAAGATCGCTGGAGTAAACGCCTCTGTTTGTACCTATCCTTTGGATAGTTTGGGAAACGTGATTAAAGCCAATCCACAGGAAGTTTTCTTCGTCAAGGAGAACAGTAACGCCAATGACGGTAAATACATCAATAACTTCGTAGATTCGGCGCTTTTTGAAGGCAAATTTGTTTGATAGTGACATAATGTTAAAGTTATAGGGCGTCCAAAGGTGTGTTTAGCACAAACCTGAATACTGCGAATAGAAATAAACAAGTTACATATATATAAAGTTTATTTAAATATAATCACCATTGGATTCAATCACGCGTTCGCAGCGATCGATCCAGGCTTGAAAGACACGCTTTAAATCATCATGAGAAAATTGCTCAAATTGCTCTCTTACAAAATTTTCAAGATCATCTGGACTCGCGAATTCGCGTCCTTCAGCTCTCTTTTTTAGCGTGCCGAATAAATAAAAGTCAGAGGGTGCAATATCAGGTGAATAAATTGGGTTTGGAACAACTTTGACATTGTTTTCCACCAAGTAATTCATTACCTTATGACTTTTGTGAACTCTTGAATTATCAAAATGAATTGCAAACTTTTATTTTTGTTGTTTGGATTTCTTAAACTCATCAGAATTGATAATTTGAGTAAGAACATTGTCAATTAGATACTGAGCATTCATCGTATTAGGTTTTTGAAGAATATCAATTGCGATGATGCCATTCACGCCCCAAAAAACCGACAACATCATCATTGGTGTGTCAATTTTTTTCTTCGGGAATGTTTGCGGATTTTCATCCTTCGGGATCCACATGATTTTGGCTTCTGTTGCATATTGAAACCAAGACTCATCCCCTGTTACTAAAAAGCGAAACTTCTTGGATTGATACGCACCCAATATAGAGAGGAGCTCTTTCGAAGATTGAACTCTAGATTTTTTTTGAACTGAATTAAGGTTGTGCGGAACCCAACGTGTATACGCTAGTTTGTAGTTCAAATAATTGTGCAGATAATAACTGACTGTTGTACGTGGTATCTTTGTCATCTCCTCTATCCTTCTGAGTGATGCTCTTGGGTCTTCATCTAGCGCTTGAAGAATTGCTTTGATTTTTCTTTGATCCGGCGATTTTTTGTCAATTTTTATGATGGGCGCCTTTTTGTTCATGAAGTGATACATCCTAACATGATACGTTACAGTGGAATAGCTAGGAGCATCCATACCGAAGCATTTTACCAATGTCTCGTAGATTTTTTTACAGTCTTTGCATTTTTTTGCAAGAGCGAGGATGTTTTCTTTATGATTCATTAAAAAAATGAAAAAAATCCCGCCAAAATTTCCCGCGAAACCGCCTCTTGTCTCAAAATTCATTTTATATCCCGGCATGGCGCCAAAATACAACATACTCATCATATACATATATTCATATTTTTTATTATATATTTATAATCAGCATATATCTCCTTTAATAGTCTCATATAGAGCGCTGTGCTAAACGCACCTTTGGACACCCTATATTTTGGTTATTTTTATTGCAAAAATTGATCAACTTGATTGTAGAGGTTTTAAAAGGGGATGCCTGCGCCTTGATGTCATTTAGCAAGGCGACATCGCAAATGTTATTGGAATAATCATTGGATATATATACATTCGTATCATTCATTTCAAATAAAATTGAATTGTTCATCTAAAAAATACTGAAATTGAAATTGCAGTTAATATTTATGTTTAGCATGAGCTGTAATTTAAAAACAGCTATGGGATTTTAGAATTTTGAATCATTTACAATTAATTAATAATGTATTTTAATAGGTCTCTCTTGATAGAATTTATATCCTAAAGGTACTCATAAATTTTTGAAAATGGCTCCCAAAACGGCTTGATTGACTCACAAATTGGATTTGAAAGGAATATTTGAGCTATTAATAAATTATATTCATGACAAGATTGGAAATGACAATGTTAAATTTATTCTTTGAGAAATTTTGAAAATTTGAAAGCTTGTTTTATATTTTGAAAGAAAATAGTAATTGAGGAAAAGCTAAAATTTGATAATAGTTATCAAACGCATCAATTGATAATAGGAATTGTTGAGAAAATAAGCAAAAAAAGTCAAAACGATAAAATTCGGCTGAATTCAAAATATTTTCATACAATTTTCCTCCACTTATTATATTAGATGAAGAGTAGATTATTGTTTTTTAAGATTTGAAAGTGTAAAAAAATTCAAAACTTGCAGTGAATATTTTGTTATTTTCTTTGTACAATAAATTAAAAGTGAAATGTGATTTAGTGTAAAGATTTTTTCAATAGAAAAAAAAATTGAATATAAATGTTATCATTCATGATATTATAATACCCTTTTAATTCCATTAAAATTTTAACAAAATTTTCGATAACAAATTCTTTCAAAAAATAAATTCATTGCAACATTAATTTTCCTTTATTTTTATTTCCCTATGTCATCATGCCTTTGTAACAGTTACTCTGAGTGTTTCGATGGGGAATAATTCAAATTTAAAAAATACAGATATAATTTTAATAAAATAAGAGAAAGGGACAAACTATCCAGTGTCACTTTTCAAAGGAATAAAAAAAATAATAAAGATGAAATAATAACATGAAATCTTATATAAATATAATTTTATCTAAATAGATAAATGAATTAAGCAGTTTACAGTTATATATATTTAATGAGAGACAATATCTAGTTCTATGGTAGAAATGACTCTTAGACTCAAATAAGTAACACAGATAGAAAGTACTCAGTATAACAATTATATATGTACACTCAAAGTTAGTCGCTGCTAAAATCTTAACCTTGCATTTCGGGAAAATCTGACTAATGGCTCTTAGACTCAAATAAGTAACACAGATAGAAAGTACTCAGTATAACAATTATATATGTACACTCAAAGTTAGTTGCTGCTAAAATCTTAACCTTGCATTTCGGGAAAATCTGACTAATGGCTCTTAGACTCAAATAAGTAACACAGATAGAAAGTACTCAGTATAACAATTATATATGTACACTCAAAGTTAGTCGCTGCTAAAATCTTAACCTTGCATTTCGGGAAAATCTGACTAATGGCTCTTAGACTCAAATAAGTAACACAGATAGAAAGTACTCAGTATAACAATTATATATGTACACTCAAAGTTAGTCGCTGCTAAAATCTTAACCTTGCATTTCGGGAAAATCTGACAAATGGCTCTTAGACTTGTTTTGATAATTAATTCTTCAATTATATTATAATTTATAACAAATTTCCTCAAACTATCTGTATGTCATTCAATTCCCGGCCACTACATTCAATGATGGACCATTTCCTTCAAATTTTGAAATACCTTATTCAATTTGTTGTATGGAGCCCGTGATATTCAACACTATGGAGCTCCTCCAGTTTGGTATCCAAGAAGAGATAAAAGCTAGCATGGGCTACTCTCAAAAATGCAGGAAAGAATACTCCACGATCGAATACAAATGTAAGTATCCACAATGTCAAGCTAAATTCAAAGTCCGGATAATAGATCAAGATAAATATGAACTACTAATCCACTCTGACTCTCATGATCATTCTGCACCTCCGAAATCAACAAAAACAATATCCTCATTATTTGTCAGAAATTATCTTAAACATTACTTTGAAAACAATATGAATCATGCTACAGCTCAACTTAAGTGTTTCCAAGACTTAAATATTTCATATACAGACGAAGAGTTACTTTCAATATTTGCACAAGGTCCAGATGCATTACGTAAATTTGCTCAAAGAGCTGAAATTGTTTCCAAACGCTTTAGTTCGGATGAAAAAGTTTCTTTAGCTATCTTTGTTGAATCTGTTCAAGAAAGTTGTCCAGAAGATTTAATTGAATTTATCTCTGAGCCGGGAAAACTAGTTTTTTTATATGCACCTTTCGAAGCGAAGGCCCTTGGTCACCAAATTTCTACGTTTCACATCGATTCAACGTATAAACTTCTAAGGGCTAACATTCCATTATATGCACTCACAGGAAAAACAGAACATACTATTGTTTTTCCTTTTTTGTATTTCTTTATTTCTCCTGACACAAGCGAAAATATTCAATATTGTGTTTGTCGTTATTTTCAATATATTAATAGAGAACCCGAGATGATAAGTATGGACTGCGCCCCACAAATAGCCGAGGCAATTGAGCGAGGTATTCCAAACTGTCATATTCTTTGGTGTGGCGTGAGTTAGTATACAAGTGTTGGGTATGGTGGCACTGCGTTCCACCTTACCCAATACTTGTGAATTTGACACTTTACAAAACCGTTAACGTATATTTTACAACATGAACGCAAAAACTAACTTAACCTTAAATATTTACAAAGCCGCCAACAATTTCACCTCACTATCGTTCTCACTAACAACTTCACTAACGTTCTCATAAATTTTCCTCAATATCTTCATCATCAGTGTTAACCCTATTGTAGTCATAATTGAAGCCATAAACTTTCTCTAACTTCTTAACGTACAATTTACATAACTTACCTTCGTCATCGTATGGTTTAATGATATATATCTATCTATACACAGTCAATGAAAAGTCAACTGGTCTCGGATGTATTTGAAAGAACATGTTATGCTCAGGAAGGAAGAATAAATAATGTTATGTTTTTGATGTGTATGAGTTGCTTTTGTTCTGTCATTACATCCAAATAAAATAAAAATAAAAAAATAAAATAAAAAATAAATGATATCACCACCCTCACACGTATGAAAACATAGCACAAAAATAAATTTAGGTGAAGTGGTGAGATCTCACCTCTTTTTTCACCTGTTTTTTCACCCTGTTGAATTCATTGCTTTATTCTCTTCCTTTCTCCAACTCTTCTAACTTCTTCTTAAGTTCAGCAATGTTGTCCTCATGAAGTTTAATCTTTCTCAAAATTCCTTCTTTATCTAATGGTTGCTTTATCTTTCTAAACTGAACTCTACCATCCTTCATAGTATGAATGTAAAACCTTCTGGAATAGTTCCTGATTTAATGTATTCTACCAAAAACTTTTGTTTCATTGCTTCAGTGACTTTAGTCGTCATTTCAATCAAATAAAAATTTTAATATTAAATAAAAATAACGTTATTTTTTCAGTAAGGAAACGCAGGAGTTTTACGATTTATTTGTGGAGTAGGTTCTGGTTTAAATGTTGGAGTCGGTTTAGGAGTTGACTTTTGAACAGGAGTTTGTACTTCCATAGGTTCAGGAGTCATTGAAGGTTGTTTGTGAAGGCGTTGGTTTTGGCGATGGTGTCGGAGTTTGTTTAACTTCAGCTACTTCAGTATTATTTACAACATTTGCTTTATTTCTTTTCAACATCATAACTGCTCCTGCTGTAGCTAGCAAACCTAGTGGGAGACCATATTTATATAAGGACTTGACCAAATGCTATTTTTGACAGGAGCTGGTGGAACACCTAACCTTGGTGAGACTGCTCTTTGCCATTGTGCAGCTCGTAAGAAATATTCAATAGGTGCTCCATAATCGTTTGGTAAAGTTTGTTTCATAGATGGTGAAGGTTCACGAGAGCTTGATGAAGAACTCATTTATAAGCTTTAAAAATAAACGTTCATCCTTTATTCCTCACTGTCGTCCGTAGCTAAGTTATAGTCATCTAATCTTATTATTGGGATTCCATTAGCACGCACCTGAATGGCAAAGCAACAATCCCTCATAAATCCAATAAGTGGCTTTGGTACGTTTTCAGTTGCTAGTTCAATAGGTCCTTTAACAGACAATTTGTATGTTATTGGAGCAGTAGATGTTTGACCTTGCTGGAAGCAAAAGTCCACTTCTGTTGGAAAACCACATAAGAAATGTGTGTTGTCATAGCTATCCCATTTATGTTCCACACTACCATCATCCACCAATGACCTCATAACATCTTCATTAAATCCTATCATATCATTGTTTGTATTGCAAGCGTTCGCAACCATTTCATAAAATACAGGTCCATATGATTTTTCAGGTTCTGCAGGCATATTTCCATAAGCTCCCATGGAAAGCTGAAGATATTTAAACTTAGGGTTCTCAAAATTAACATAATAGTTGTCTTTCTTTCTAAATAGTGCCCAAATACTTTTAACATTAATAGGCGTATAAGCTGCTGTAAATGTTGCACTTGAACTATCTGTATTCTTTGAGAATGAACCGTCCATAGGAATCCAATCCATAACTTTAACAGGAAAACATAAAGCCTCGTTTGTATAATGTTCTACAAGTTCTGTATAAATGTTAGGGTCTAAAGAGAATGACTTTGGATGAATGAAACATTCATTAAAATCCATCTTTGTTCGAAATAGTTGCTGGGTTACAGTTGTAATAGTAACTGTTCCACTAGCTTCTACTGCCTTCGTTATCATAGTGAATGGTTCATTCCATGGAACAAATTTATTTGTCGGTGGATTTGAATCTGAAGCAAATGCAACTTTAAGAGTTGGATTGAAAGCAATGATATCATTTACAGATATAGATGTGCATTGTAATGCGTCGCTACTGAACTTTACTTTAAGCTGAATGTTACCAGCAAATGCAGGAATAAATCTTATAGCTTCTAATGGAAAATCTTTCTAACAGGAATTCTTAAACGAAGCTTAAAATCAAATGATTTTCCTGCTGTAATTGGACCACTAACAATTTGTCCTGTTCTGCATGTTCCCGAATGACTCCATACATCTTCATGTCGAGTCTTTGAGAAAACATCTACTTTCTTTATTTGTTCGGTAGTTTGTGAGTTTGAAGTTATATATGCTTCTTCTCTTGCGTTGTCTTGAGAATATACGATACGACCATTTGCAAGGATTTGATATCCAGCAACTGCATAGAAAGCGTCATCGAAACCAATCCAAAATCCTGGTGGGTTTGTTTTATTGGAACCTGAACCAATTTCTTTATCTACAATAAATTGACCTTCCATTTTATACGTAATGAATGTATTGTAAAGGTCCAACATATTTTCACCAGGAGGTGAGAGATTGAATGTTACCCATGTTGTGTTATCTTTAGCAGTTCCAGGTTGTGATGGAATCTTTGCGTCAGAATATTTTCTATTAGTGTCACCAATTTGAACTGCATTGTCTATGATATCGAAATATGAGCGAATCTGATGAATATGCTCTGCTGGAGTAAATTCGTTTAACTGTTCGTTCTGCATGTATTTACTTCGGATAAAAATATCTATTTACTTCATTATTCTCACTCTTCTTCTTGGCATTCGTGGTGGAAGTTGTTTCTTGACATTTTCAATGAACTGTACATTCTCTTTTGTCTCAACTTCTTTCACTGGTGGGTCAGGGTTCTTTGACTCGGTTTGCTTTTCAATGAAATTCACGAACTTTGCAATAAGCTCTTGGTTCGTTATTGAAAGAACATCTGGCTTCTTTTCTTCTTGTTCTATTGACTTTTCAGTTTGAATAGAAGGTTTTATATGGGCTTCACCCTCGGTGCCATGCACCTTAATGTTGTCGCTCTCTGCATTCGCTAATGGAACCTTTCTTTTTCTTACGTATATTTTACCATCTTTACTCTGACTTACATAATAGAAAGGATGTTGTATTCCTCTTGCGTCATTTAATATAATAGACTCTCGCTCTGATTTTGACAAGCTCATTTTACATCGGTTAAAGTTTTAATTTTGTTTTTTTATCTGCAGTCAAATGACTCAGACAAGTCATATGGACAAGACCCAAGGGGTCATAGATGTTGAAGCATTGAAGAAAGAAATTCGCGAGCAAATTTTATCCGAACTGAAGGAACAAAAACAAGAACAAAAGCCAGAGAGACCAAAGAGAAAACTTAGTGAAAAACAACTAGCTGCATTAGCTGCTGGAAGACAGAAGAACCCACGTTTGCTGGCGAAGAAAGCTAGAGAAGAAGCAAAAGCAAAGGAAGAACAAAAAGCTAAAGAAGCTGAAGCAAAGAAAGAGTAAATGGTTTATTTTTATCCGAATTAAATGTATAGACAAATACCTTTATCTGTTGCGTTCAGTAGTGAAAACCCTGACGTCAAAATAAAGGGGAACAGAGTAACGTTTAAGTTTCCAACAGACTGGATTGTGAACATAAATGAAGAGAAGTACATTGGCATAACAAATATGTATATAACACGTGCTTTCAGAAAGGTTGACTTTATACTTCAAGTCGAGATAGAAAATGACGAACAGTCTTTAAGTGTCCAAAACATTCACATATACAAATACTTTAAAGACGATACAACATTGTTGCAATGTATGATTTCATTTAATGAAATGTTCGAGAAAAAGTTTAACATTGAAGTACAAACTTTACAGCCTTTACGTGAGTTTCTTGCACAACTGAAAGAAGAAGGTAGTCAGCCACAACTTATAGACTTTCATTATGAATTTAATGAAAATGAAGATGGAACACATGACTGTCAGTTTGTTATATATTCACCATTCAATGAAGTAGCTAAAGAGAAAGAAAATCCATTACGTATAAGATTTCAAATCTCTGAACCAAGTGATGATTTCAAGAATGTTTTCAATTATGATGCAATGCTTCCGAGGAAAAATGAATTTTCAAAGATTGTAACACCTGGCATTTGGGATAGAAAGCAAGCTATTCTTTTCTCTAATATAGCCAAAGGCGTTGAAAATGAGTTCATTGGTCATACAAGAACTTCACCACTTCCTAACCCTAAATACTATAAATTAACTGGCTTCAATCGTGAGTTTTGGATAGACATGTTCTCCACTCATGACCATAACTGCCCAGTGTTCTTACCTCCAGACCATAAGGACTGTCTCTACATTGAAGCACAACTCTTAAACTCTACCATCGCAGTATTGTAAATGACCACATGGGCTTCGCCCTTGCCGCTAGCGGCTTATTTTTATCATGAATGGTCTCACTGCTGACAAAAATAAATGACCTCAGAACTTCAACTTACGAATAAAGCTTGTTTTAGTCGTTATTGAGAAGTTAAACTTTTCAGCAAAGCAAGGACTAGAAGACTTACATAAGTCAAATCCAATCTCTTGACCGTCATAAAGTGCTTTATATAACTGCATAACACTGAACTCAGAGTCTTTGTCAAATTTTCCTTGCGGAACCATTAAACCTTTATCTTCATCATAGAAACACTGAACAGAGTCAGGAAACATTTCATTAGCGGTTAAAGCAATAACATCTTGCTTCACGCCTTTCATTCTGCAGTGAAATGCAACTTCATTTAAATCGTTAGTGAGTAAGTCTATGTAGGTCTTCTTTCCACAAAATATTGACTTGTATGCTAAACTTTGTTTTCCAGGTGTTATTTCTGCGAAGTCGCTATGAAATTGACCTAATGTTTTACCAATAAGTTCTCTACCGTATCTCTTCTTAAATTCATGAGCTAAACGTGGTATGTCTTCATTGTAAATGTGCATCGAATCTGTATCCTGATAAAATGCTTTTAATCCTAAGTCTTCAATCGTGCAAAACACTTCATTCATAATACGTTTTGACATTGATAGAATATTTACACCAAGTGGCAAAAGTTAAAGTGTCTGCAAATGCTTTTCGTTAGCTTGAAAATAGTTTTATTTGAACCATCCAAACCTTCGAACTTCACTATATGGTTGTAGTTTCTGATGGCATATCTTATAGCATCTTTGTCATCTACTATGGTTATTTTTGACTCAATAGGAGATAAATGGTTTTGCCATAAATGCTGTTCAGAATGAGTTTTATAATTTCTTGTAATGGGTTTTCTTCTTTCTTATACTTTAACCTTAACTCAAACAACTTCTTTACTTCATCTCTTATTCTAATATCTCTGTTTCCATCGTAATAGTATCCTTGCAACACTTCACATTTGACACCTTGATATTTTATGAGGTCTTGTAATGTTATATGGTCAACATACATTAAACAGCAAGTGTTTGAACTTCTGGGAACGTTAAGTTCTGGATTTAGTTCAGGGTCACAAACTATTAAAGGAAAGTGTCTATGTATTCCAATCTCTGTTATCTTAATGAGAACAGAGAAGCCAGACATAAACTTTTCACCAATGGGTTCCTTTTGGTCGTCATCGAATAAATGTCTCATGAGATACTCTGTGCTTAACATCTCATCCTTCAATACTTTTGGAATTCCTTCTAAAGTATAAAGTCTTGCTATAGCGGATGGATATAATGAAACAGCGTCGAAGTCAGCAATGAGTTTCTTTTCTCTCTTTTGTTTCATGTTATCTGACAACATACATCTTCCACCTTGAATGCATCTCGAAATAAATTCTCTTGGTTTATTTGAGAGGTCATAAAGATTTCCATTCGGGAAGTATACTCTGTTCTCAAACAATTTGTTAGCAATAGAACAAATACTAACGTAGTCATAAACGTTTAAATCAAACTCTTTCAATAAGTCATTGCGGAACTTTACAAAACCTTCTCTTAAAATTCTTACATCTTGTTTGCAGTAAAACGTGCTATATTTTTCTAAGTCGAAGTGGTTCTCATCTATTCTGCAACCTTTGATGGAATCTATGTTCTTCATGAATGTATCTGCATCCCGGATAAACTTACATGCTTCAGAAATGACACCAGTTCTGTTGTCATTTGCTAACAAAACACTGCTGTAGTAGTTGTATGAAAATACTTCTTTCGGTCCTGTTTGTAAGTTAAACATAGCAGGAAATAGTTTAAGCTTCTTATTTATAACACTGTAAGAGTCTTTTATAATAATTGCCCGTCCTTTATATAAACCAGTTATTTGCATTGTTCGTGAACCTTTAATGATGGGAGTTCCTTTCACTTCTGTCATGTGTCTTAAGATGAAGTTTATATCATAGCTGAGGTTATGGAAATATATTAAACTCTTGTCAGGAAGTCGTTCCAAAAATTCTGTTGCACAGTTCTGACCCCAAATGCTTTCACTCACTGAACCATCTTCACTGTCGTAACATATGTTAAAAGCTTTATGAAAGCCATCGGTACTACACTCAAAGTCAGCAAAGAAAACGTGCTCAGGAATGAACTTGCACTTATTTTTATTTACTTCTTTTGACTCTGCTTTCTTCTTCAGTTGTACACAATACTTTGGAGCATATGTCAAATCTTTAAATGGTGCAAGGTTCTGTTTATATAAGTCAGTCGTATATGTGAAAAGTTCTCCATAAGAAATAGGTTCGAAATATTTGCACTCCCACAATGTTTTCATAACATCCCATAGCGGTGTAGTTCTATCATAACGAACTACATATTTGTTCTCTCTCTTTGTATATATTTTCATCTGTTTCTCAATGTTCATTCCACCACACTCCTTCAAGATTTCTTTGTAATTTCTGACGAAGTATGTTGTCATTGGAAGTCTTTCGTTTAGCATGTAGTGGTCTTCAACAAGAAGTAGGTCAATAGTTCGAACAGTTTCACATTCTTTTGGTATGTATCTCTTTATTTCATTATATCTTGAGTCATTGAAGTAACCAATGGTAACATTAAATGCTATACCTGTTGCGTCAGAAATTTCTTGTACTTTACTTTGAGGAAAGTCTCTAACACGAATGACTTCTCTCATGTGGTCAATAGTTTCTTCATTTACTCCAGCCTGAATGCAAGCATAAACGAAACAATTGTCTTCTGTCATAAGTGTTGCAGTTCTTTTGTTCAGTTCATTGAAGATTTGGTAGCGTTCAAGATTTATAGGTAATGTGCAAAGATACTTCCAGAACTGACCGCTTCTCTTCTTATAAAACTTCTTTTCACCATTATCTTTCCAAAAGCTTTCTATAAGTGCTGGGTTTCCTGTTTGCTTAAGAGCTTCCAAAATGGCTTTCTGGTCATTTGTCAGTGTGCTTTCATCTCTATATGGTCTCTTTTTTGGTTTGCCTTTCTTTACATCTGACATCGTTAAGCCTTCATATTCTGTTAAATCATACATCTTTATTTCAGTAAGATTCTTTATGTTTGTCAAGAAGAAGTCATAGTGCATTTCAACAATACCTGCGGCATTTGCTTCTATCTCTGATATAAAGTTCTCCTTCAAGAGCTGATGTAGTAATGTTCCAATATTATTGAGGTTTAACGTAGAACATTCATACTTTCCACCAAGTTTATAACATACCATCCATCTCTGTTGTGAGTTTATTTTAATCTTCTCTAAGAGTCTCATGAAAACCTTACCGAAATGTTTGTGTAAGTAGTCTCTGTTTGGTTCATCTAAAGCTTCGATGTTAAAGTCAATGAGTCTATTGCCTGACTTCACATTTCTCTTCCTATTCTCTTCATCTTTCTTTAACCATCTCTCACCTTCTTTTGGTTTGTCGTCAATGGAACGAATGACATCGTTAGCTTTGCGAACTTGTTCTATAGCACTTTTAAACATCTCTCTTCTCTGTTGTTTCAGTGTGTCGTCTCTTCTTCTTGTTTCACCAACGTTTGCATTTGTTATGTCAAACATCTCACGCCTTACTTCATGAGGTATTGAACGTCTATGATATAAGTCAATAGCAACGTCATTTAAAGGAAATGCTCTTGCATTTATGAACTCATGAATTCTATCATAAGTTATTTCACCATTGTAGTCATTGAGAATGTCAGCGAGTGCTTTTTTGTTTGTCGCGTAATGTTTTGCAACATCTATGTTAGCTTCTGTAAGAAGTTGTTTTATTTCCGAGTGTTCTAACTTAGACAACTTCCGATACATCTTTAGTAGGAAATAAAAAATATTTTTTGAAAAAATTAGATTAGATTTTTTTAAGTTATTTTTCAAAATAATTTAATATTTTTATTTTAATGAAACACATGCAAGATTGCAAGTTCTTTTCATACAATGCTCTCGCTACTGTCATCAAGAATGAGTTCAATGGTGCTTCAAACGTTAATGTTATCTTTAACAAGAAGTTTGTGAAAGAATCTAAGTTTGGTCAGTATGTCAGACCATTAGCTATTGTCATTGACCGCAAACGTTATACTTCACAAGAGTTAGCAGTAGTTTTGAAACAAAAGAGTTTCTTCGTGAATGTCAAAGATACTCATTATACTGTCATAAAGAACTCTAACATTGACTTCTTCAGTATTGCTTTAAATCTTTCCGAACAGAAAGAATATAAGAAGGGTGAAACAAATGTGAAATATTATTCTTCATCTTTGAAGACAATAACGAACAAAGATGTTATACAGAAATTCTTACCAAAGGTTGAAGAAGCTTCTATTGACATTGACGAAGGAAGTGAAATGATTGAAGAAATAGACCCTGAAGCTATTTAAGCAAAAATATATTTTTGAATAACTGATGGTGTCACCACGTCACCATGTCACCAGGTTAATTAAACATATTTCAAACAAAGCTTATGTCAGTAGATAGTTTTGTATACTCGTTCGAATATTTATACTTAAACTCAACTCCTGTAGTTCTGGTGTTTCAATGATGCGGATGTTACCTATTTTCATGAATATTGGCGTTTGACCACAGCATTCGATTTCAGGGTCGAGATAGTCAATGACACATTGTTTCCCTGTTATTCGTGATATAACATTTTCAAGGTCCTCCTTTGTTAGAATTATTTGGTTCTTACTTATAAGATTTATCAAAAGCTTCTTATCGTCTTTGAGTAAAATTGTTTGGTATAACTGAAGAAGGTAATGGTCTACCTTATCTGAAGGATTTGTTTGAACATTTATGTAAGGGTTGTCGTTGGCTTCTCTTGAAAGAATTTGGTCCAGTGGTGGATACTCTAACTTAACATATGATGTAGCGTTAGCGTTTGAAGCTGTGTTTAAATTCACGGATTTCAGCTCTGGTTCTTTTTCTTTCAAACACTCCGAACTATAGTTCTTTATGACAATATTGTTTGTCGTTCGTGAGTCAACATTTGATGTTGGTTCAATTGGAACATTAACGGCACCAGCTAAGATGGATTTGCTTCTCATTTCATATAGAATAAAAACCTTTTATATGTATGAAATGAACAATATACTCGACAAGGGTTTGAATGTAAAGCTAACGAATGAAAATATTGTTGAATTCACTGAGACAGGAGCTGTGTATAAAGATGTAGACACTACTGAACAAAAGAGCAAAGGGAAGAAGCAGGAATATGAACAAAGGGTGGAAGCCTATAAAATTTATGTCAATGATGGCTCAGGAGGTTCAAACATAAAGTATGCAGAAAGTTATAGAGTTTATGCGCTAAAAGGTGAAAAGCCTTCATTTAAGAACAGCTATTCTAACACATATCCTCAAAAGCTAACGGATGGGGAAGTGGATGATATGAATGACAGCAAAAATATTAACAGAAATGGCGACAGAGATGCATGGAATTTGTTTACCATCAGTCAATTAAAGCATAAGATTTAAAACAATGTTGGTCGTTCCCATGGAATATTTTTGACTTTAATGGTATTAGTCATGATATGAATCTCAAGGTATGAACGAGGAGAGATGAGAGACTTATATGCTTCCCAAATTTCTTCAAAAGGTAATGTTATACCTGACTGTTTCCAAATGAGTTCAATATCATAGCGTGAGAAACCTTGAAAGATAACGAAGTCAGTTATGAGACGTTTTATGTTTAAAGCAAGGAAACGCCATGTTTGCATAAGTATTGCTACAGTTAAATGGTAATGTCTGACTTTAGTTATGATGTTAGCTAATGGTGAGTCAGGCTTTGACACTAAACCTTTTCCGGCGAAGTCGTCACAAATGAGCAGAGTATTTGAAGGATACTTTTTGAAGGGGTATTTTGAAAGTTTTGACAGAATGTAGTTTGTCAGTCGTTTCATATCGTAAACTCCTGAGTACTGACGTAAGTGGTGTTTGTCAATAATTCTTTCCATCTCTTCTGAAGTCTTTTGCATTCCTGACTGTATAAATTCAACGATGGCATAATATTTTCTCTTACGTCGAATGTAACGTTGAAGAAATTCAATGAGTTCACTGTCTGGAACTTTAACGACAGAGGCTTGAACTTTTGACATAAATGTTTTCGCTGTTGAGTCCATAGAGTCTGAAGTTGCTGATATAATGATTTGGTCATAATATGAGTCATTTCCTAAACGTTCTGTTATGAGTATATGACGAATGAGGTTAAATGTCTTACCTGAACCCATCTTTCCACAATAGAAATAAACACCATTTGAACAGAACTCATAGTCCTTACTGAAAGGAAGAATGAGAGAAGAGTTAAGTTTGTCTGTAGTTTCATTCATGTCTTCATCTACGTCATGTATTAAATGCTTCATTTTATCTCCATTAAAAATGCAAGTCAGAAATATTCAGAACATAGCACCGAGTCTAACTGACAAGAGTATAAAGATATACTATGAACACGTTATGATGAAACCTACCAAAATTCAAGAAAGTCAGTATACTTATGAATATCCAAGACACTGGGTAGAGTATGTAGGAGGTGAGAAAGCTATTGAAATCAGACAGGTTCGAAGTATTCCAGCAGGAAGGACAATATTATTGAAGAACTTTAATGTTTTGAGATATAATGATGAAACAAAGAAGCAAGATAGTTTCCCTGTTGCTGTGTATGTGAACTTAGATATAGGAGATGACATGAAAGTTTTTAATACAAAGCTTCAAACGGTAGTGAGAGAACAACTGACTGCGGAAGGACACCCATTACCTTCAGAAGTTACCATAGCATATAATTTTGAAACAAACTCAATAGATTTTAAAGTCATCTCTGCAAAGAAGTCAGGATTTACATTTAATGAAGCAGATGTATATTCGAATGAAAACTTCAAAGCTATTGCATGGTTAGATAATGACTATTGCTTTAAGAAAATCTTTAAATTCAGTGACTCAAAGATGTCAATAGATGACCTTCGTGGAATGTTACCATCGACGTTTACAGTAGAAGGTTCAGCAGGATTGCTTACAAGATTGTCAATTGGTGGTATTTGGTCTCGTGAGAACATTGTTATAAAATCCAGTATAAGTGAATTTGCTGAAGAATCTATATTATGTCTTTCAAACTACATGTATTCGCCGCCGAAGCATTATAGTATAACAAACTTTGTCAGTAAGTTTAACATAAGACTTGTCGAACCTTCTTCAATGAAAGATGTTGTGCTACCCAAAGACGGAAAGGATGGACTCATTATTGAGATGATTTTAATTGCATATTAAATGAGCTTGTTCTTGAAGGTCATTCATGATGAAATAACTGTTGTAGAAGATGTTAGCAATTGTTCAGACATTTTGAAGCGTATAGATGAGATAAGAAAGAAGTTAGATAGACCGCAAAGCTGTGAGGGCGAAGCCCGTGAGAACGCTTATGTTTCATTGACTTTCTCCAGTAACGAGAACTTTTATGAGATAATATTGAAGAGAGATGATTTTAATATGGTGTAAATGGTAGCTTGGGCAGCTTTAGGCGCAATGGGAACAAAAGCATTAGCATTTGGAGCAAAAGCACTTGGAGCTTATGACGCAGTAAATAAAATGAGTGGAGGAAGGTTTCGAAGACATTAGATGCAAATAAAGGGAAGATTGGAGGCTGGGTTGCAAAGAAGTTAAGATTAAATAAAATAGGGCTCATAAATAAAGCATCCAATTTGGTTGCGACTGAGTCAGAAAATGCTTTAGGAAAGGACGATGAGTTTGCAAAACACGCAAAAGACTTTAATGACCAGATGAAAGGTGAAACAATGCATTTAAATAGAGTCGATGGAACTAAAGAAAATGTTTCTTCTCCACCAGTAGTTCTTCCGTATGGACCTTATGGAATGTAGGAAACCCCTTTATGAACGACCATTTGACCCATTGACTGGTGGAAGTAACTGGTATCATTACGGCCGAAGAAGAAAGACAGTCAAGTTGGAGACAGACGTGAAGAAAGCAACTAAAAAGAAACAAAGGAAGAGAGTTATAAAGCAATGAATTCAACAGGGTGAAAAAACAGGTGAAAAAAGAGGTGAGATCTCACCACTTCACCTAAATTTATTTTTGTGCTATGTTTTCATACGTGTGAGGGTGGTGATATCATTTATTTTTTATTTTATTTTTTATTTTATTTTTATTTTATTTGGATGTAATGACAGAACAAAAGCAACTCATTCGAATTCCACAGTATAACAAACATACATTTAAACATTTATTCTTCCTTCCTGAGCATAACATGTTCTTTCAAATACATCCGAGACCAGTTGACTTTTCATTGACTGTGTATAAAGATAGAAATAGTTATATCATTAAACCATACGATGACGAAGGTAAGTTATGTAAATTGTACGTTAAGAAGTTAGAGAAAGTTTATGGCTTCAATTATGACTACAATAGGGTTAACACTGATGATGAAGATATTGAGGAAAATTTATGAGAACGTTAGTGAAGTTGTTAGTGAGAACGATAGTGAGGTGAAATTGTTGGCGGCTTTGTAAATATTTAAGGTTAAGTTAGTTTTTGCGTTCATGTTGTAAAATATACGTTAACGGTTTTGTAAAGTGTCAAATTCACAAGTATTGGGTAAGGTGGAACGCAGTGCCACCATACCCAACACTTGTATACTAACTGGCGTGCATGTCCTTCGCGCCATATTAAGAAAAGCGGATAAGTTTAAATCACGAGACAATTTTGAAGAATTTTATAATCTAATGAAATTATTAGTATTCGATACTAAAGAAGAATCTCCCGAGGAAGAACAGAACCAAGAAGAAGAAAATCCTAGAGAGGAACCAGCCCAATCTCACTTACTTCAAGCAGAAGAAATTGAAGAAGAGGAACAATATGAAGAAGAATTCATCGAAAATGAATTTCAACCTTCTCAAATCTTTTTACCACGAGAATCTTCTGATGATTCAAACGATTCTGAATTTATTCCAGAAGAAGAAACGTTTGAAACAAGTGAAGAAGTTCCAGAGCACCTCACTCAAGAAGAAGCTGCAGACCTAGATGCAGTTTATGATCGAATTCTTGAAATTCTTTCCACTGAACCGAAAGCCCAAAAGTACTTCGATAGGCAATGGAGGCATCATTTAGATCGTTGGAATAAGCGCTATCGCAACGGAGGTGACGCGACTAATAACGTCAGTGAGTCACATTTCAAAGTTCTCAAGCATTCTTATTTCCCAGAGAGAACAAATATTGGAAAACAAAAAAGTCGAATGTTTGAAAATGCTTGAAGCAATATATTCAAGTTTGCAACAAGGATCAATAGATTCAAATCTTGTTTATTGTACTTTAAAGGTACTTTTAAAAAAGAAACAATTAATGTAAAAGATTCAAATAATTTTTTATTATTATTTTATTAATTTTTTAAAATAAGGTTAATAAAAAAGTGACACTGGATAGTTTGTCCCACACTCAATAAAATAACCTCTAAAAAAGAAGGAATTTGCTATGTTACTAATATGTATTCATTCCATTTATAATTTTATGATGATCATAAACTGTTTATTAAATTTATTTTTGCATAAGTGGATTATTCATTATAATATAAAGCTTTTAGATATTTTCATGTCAGAGAAAAAAAAATATTTTTTTGTTGGGCAAAAAAAATCCTCGTTAATTTAATAATGCATAATTTGGTTCTTCATTGAATATGTGAATAACAAGCAAAAATAATTGGAGAATCCAAATCTTCCTTTCGATTTTAAGGTTAATTTTGATTCCGAATCATTTTCGTGTACGTTTCTTATTGAAGTCAATCATTTCCAAACAGAATAATAAAAAACCTCTACACCTCCTCAATTTATTACGTTCCTTAAAAGATCGTTTCTAGAGAAAATAACCTGTGGCATTATATTCTTCTAGTTCTTTAGAGTATATCATCAAACTTTTATTTATACCTAAAATTGAATCTAAAATCTTTTGATATTGAAAGATCATTCAATTTAGAAAAAGTTGAAAACATTACAAATAATTAATATTCCTGCATTGTATTTCTGATAAGCTAGGAAAATATTTTTGTTTGTTTTAATTTCAAAGCAATATTTAAAAATAAACAATCAGTTTTTACTCGAGATTTGTGATGTAATAAGCGTATTTATGGGGTTGATATTTTTTTTATACAATGATATTGAATATAAAATTTAATGATATTGAATACACGTAAATTTGTGAATAGTGAATCTCACAATTTGTCAATCCAATCCTTTTTAATCTTTATTTCTCATATAACTCGATTCGAGAATTGGTGTTACCCAAATGAAATATTTTTCTATGTACAAACATTTTCAAAATTTTGAAACTAATTGAAATTGAATTCTTTTTTAATTGAAAAACATAACATAAAAAATATCCCATGCAATTGGAGTATATTGAAGATCTTCTTAAGACCAGAAAGATTAGAAAGAACGTATGCAGAACAAAGCAGACCATACGTGACCGCAAATCCATCGATGACCGCTTAACTTTGAACGGTATCAAAGTTGATTATGTAGATGCGTACCTTTGCAAGCTTGCAGGTTGCCACGTAACAATCGATCCGCTTCTTGAGTTTGCATACGATATGAGCTATCAGTTCCGCTTAAAGCTTGATAGGCTGGCCAAAAGAAATCGAACAGCACTCTTATGCTGGTACGCAGAAAATTGGGGAAATATTTTCCCGTATCTTAGCAAAATCAAATTCCACGAAACAAAAATCATAAAGGAGGAAAAGAAGATAATGAGCGAAAGTAGTGATGAATCTGGACCAGAAGTTAACTCTATTCCTGCGTACTGCTGTGATGCCATCAATATTGATCCATCAGATCTTGCACAGCTCGTGAATTATCATTGAATTCATCGAATATTTTGTTTAATTCATAAATGTCAGCATAAATTTTTTGTTTGATATAGTTCCTGATATAGAATAAATAAAGGCACTAGTTAAATTCTTAAAAAAAAATGTTAATAATTTGCCTGCTTTGAAATCGGTGGGATCAAGTAATATATTTCGAATTAATGCCAGATTAAATAATCATCGTTCTGAATTACAAAGCTATAAATAAATGTAAAATTTAAAATTATCTTGAAATTTTTTTCTTGGCTTAAAATGTTAATGTACATTATTGAATCGCTGAAATTATTCAAAAATATCGATTTGGTGAATAATAAAATAATATTGATTAAATTGGAAATTTAATGTTTCTGTATATTCTAAATATATCTGAAATGATTTGATGTATTGCATATTATATTAAAATAGATTTTAAATAAAAGAATTTCAATAAAATTTGATTTTTTGAATTTAACAATAGCAATATGCAACTGTTAAATGACTACCTTTGATGATTAGATATATGTTAATTAAAATATTGCTGTAAACCTCTTTGTTTTTGTGTTTCAGATTTGTTGTTTTGAAATTCAATGTTTTTGTGGCAATATAACGGTTACTTCTGCGGTTATTCTAAAAAATGATCTTTAATATGCATTATATAAAATTTGTATTATCCCACTAATTGAGAGTTGATTCAAATTTTAATATTCAAATCTCTCAAATATTCAATTTTTGAAATATATTATTGAAATAATAAAAATTCAAATACTTAACGGCGCAATGGATTATTTTTCTGAAAAACATTGTAAATATATTATATTCATTGCATAATTTAAGGGAAACTTGTTAGAATTGAAAAATTCCTTGTTTTGAAAATTTGGATAAATATTTTATTTTTATTGTTGTTTTATAATCATGATTTGTATCTTATGATTTAATCCTGATATACTATTTGCGTAATTTACGATCAATCACAGAATTAATTTTTTTCATTTTTAAAATGCCATTATTGTCTTGAAATGAAAATATGATTCAATTTAAAAAGATTAAATTAAGAAGAGTACTTATTTTTAAGTCCAAAGACTAAATATCTTAGATAAATTTCATAAAATGGTTTTCTCACTATCGATTAAAGAGTTCAATAATATATTAATCATTTCCATGAAGTTTCATATTACAGTTTACGGTCATTCTTGTTAATTAATGGATATATTTGTAATATTATCATACCTTTTGCGCTTTATTTCATATTTTTGTTTTTGGACTCTAATTTTTTGTTCTATTTTGCATCCCTTGCATGTCAATATCGCTCAAAACATATTCAAATTTAAGAATATTCTAAAAAAGATATATGGAAATAATGTACCAGGTTTCATTAATCTTTAATTCAGCTTGAAATCATATTATTCACGTGTAAATCTTTCAATTACCTCAAATTTCCATAACAAGATAATGTTTTCTTTCTCAATGAAATCTATCAATTTCTATATCATCCGATAAAGTTCTAAACTCGTTTTCATGTCCTTCTCTTTGGTTCCCCTCAATCGTCTCAATTTTTGCTGTATCAGACGCGAAAGATATGATTTCAAGTTTATTCTGAAGACAAAATCTCAATGGGAAATGGAGACCTTTAGTATTCATCGATTTTTCAGGACTGTAACTCATGTTTCATCATTATTTTTCAGTGTTAAATCTATTTTTTTAAATATATCTATACCTTAACATATTAATTCATGATTTTCTTTTTGTTGATTATTTGTTTCAGAAACTTAAAGGCACTAATCATCAACAAACTTGCCAAAGAAAAAGTTCATTGATGGAAGACGCACACAGAAGATAATGTTTAGAATAAAACGAGCAATAATTTGATGATTCGTATATTTTTTTGTTTTCGAAGTTTTTACATTTAATAAATGTGGTAATCTTGCTTTAACATGTTACATTGGATGAAATTAATCTGAATATATAATGTAATTTTATAAATTGTAAAGAAAAATAATATTAATTTTTATAACAAACAAAAAAGAAAAGAAAATATATAGTATATGTCATATTTCGAAGAATAAAATGTTATTCGTTCAATCTTGCCTTCAATTTAGCGAAATCTGCCGAAAGATTCTTATAATTCATTTCAAGGAACAAAATTGCATTCTGGTCAGTGGAGAACAGATCTAAAACGTATAAAAGCAGTGTAAACTGTTGATTTTCAAAAAGTTTCCGAATTTTTTCGATTAATTCGTTAAATTGTGCATTGTCATATCTAATCCTATCTATTTTAAGTACTCTTATGGCTTTGTAAGGATCCATTTTCGATAAAATGTCAAATGGATTGAGATTATAAATAATTGCGAATCTGTAACCGATTAGAACAGCGCCGTAGTCAATAATAGTTTGTACAAGCGATGTTGGGTCCTGTAGTTTCGCTTCCTGGGCAAATTTAGAAAAATAATTTGGTTGAACGTTCAACAAAATTCGAACGGCATCGCGGTTCGGAATCCTGTTCATGATTTGGCTCCAGTTCAATTTGGGATTTTCCAATAAAACTTGACGATGTTTGTTTTTTATTACTCGGATCGACTCCGAAATTACGGTTGCAAATTCATCAGGTTGAAGTACTTTCATGTATAATTCCAAAAATGGCTCCAAATTTTCTTTGGTGTGTTTGAAAATTAATTCTAAGCTATTTGCAAAAATTGAAGCGAAATTCGGGTCATCTTTAAGGATTAAATAAATGTTCCGAAATGCCGCTTCATTTTTGTTGAACTCCGGTAAAAATTCTGAAATATAATTTTCATTAAAGAAAGTAATTGATCCTAAGGCCTGATTCGATGATAATGAGTATATCTTTGAACTGTCACAATAGAATACACTATTGGATTTCAGAATAGTTGCCGATTTGTAATAAATTATTGAAGAATTCGATTTTTGGAGGACTGTAACTTGTGGATAGTCATTATTCCATATTGATCTAACTTTTCTTGCAATTATATCGTTGCTTGGCTGCTGTACGACATTCAAATCTTTGTATAATAATAAAACTTCTTCATTTTCTGTAATTGCAGAGCCAATAATCGGTATCTTGGACTTTTCTTCAGTAGTTCGTATCGAAATGAACCTGTTTCCAAACGGAATCGGTGTTTTTTCCTTAGTAATTTTGATAATTGTGTATTTTGTGTCACAAGAAGCCAGAATTGTATGTTTATATGATGACAAATGCGAAGGATGGTGATTGATCTCGAACGTGGCGAGTCTTTGGAAGTTTTTGCTAAAAACTTGAACTCTGTACCATGTTTGCTTCAATTCTTCAACTCTCAATCCGAAAACGAATAAAAATTCCTTCATGAAACACATATTATCTATTTTTGAAGGAATAAAATCTGAAAATTTGTTGTTATTGATCATTACGAAGCCCTTCGCGTTTGCTACAGCGTAGTTATTCTTATATGATGTGGCATACTGTATAGGAAATATCTTAGAAGGAAGGGATTTCTCAGAATCGTCGATTTTTGCAACAAATTTGTTCGTTCTATGCTCAACAAGTGAATTTGGAGTGAACATAATGTTATGGTTGTTACGTCCGATATAGAATACCTTGGTTTCTTTAAGATTAGAAACGAAAAGCTGTTGAGATTGAGAATTAAATTCCAAATTTACAGAATCAGAAAGGTCTGGGATAAGAAAGGTGACTCTTTCAAAAAGGTCTATAATACAAATAACAACTCTACCGTTGGAAAATATGGAATAAAGGTATTTTCCGTCAATTGACCAATATAATTTTAAAATTTCATCGTCTCCTGGCGGTGTTATCGTATAAAATGTTTCGCTTGAAATTCCGACTATTAGAATCTGTACAGAGTTGTCCGTTTTCGCAAAAGCAAGAACTGCAGTTCTAGGGCAATAACTAATCAACTTTGCATTGTCAACTTGCTCGAAATTAAACAAGAACTGTGTATGATGCTCGATTGTATTTTCGTCAATAAATGCGACTAAAGGTACTCCACCGTAAATTCCAAAGAAATAACGAGGACTAATAAAGTTTACTGACTTGAATTGTGCTGTATCTTTCTTAAAACTAATTGTCGACTTATGTTTGCCATCTTTGGAAAAGAAAAATATATTGGAATTTGAATCACAAACAGCAATGTAATTGAAAGCTGTAAAAACGGCGTTCATTGGCATATTTACATTGAATGTTGATGTAATTGTAATCGATTGGTTCTCATGATTTATAGATCCAACGCGAATTCTTCCAGAACAAGTTCCCCATGCAATAGAACTTCGATCAAACCACTGCATCCAGTATATTGGTCCGTGTTTTTGTGTTTCTTCATCAGTTTGTTGATATTTTGCTATGATTGGACAACCATAAATCGAAGATTGTCCGAGATAAATTGTGGATTGTGAAACAAATGCCATTAATCCACTATTTGGGCATGCTTTGATTAGAAAAATGTCTGATAGTTTCGGGCATTTTTCTTGACAGAAAGGAATACTAAAAGACATATGAAATTTTGCTTTCATTCCTGCTTAATTACATTATACTATGAACGTTAAAAATATAAACATGATTTAGTTGATGAGCAATCAAACGATCCGTTATTTATAATTATGTAATAATACGAATATTCTCATTTCGTTGATAGTATAACAATTGTAGTGACAGAACCGACAATATTGATCAAGATTGCAAAACAGCAAGATCAATTTCATAATATATTTCTAACCTAGCTAAATAAACCATAAGAATGCATAAATATAAAGAAGCATAGTAAGACTTATTGATGTATGTAATAATGATCATTTAATTCATACCCAAATTGATTCAAAGAGTAAATATTGGGATTTTGTATGAAATTTTAGATTTCTTTGTCTATAAGATTTCCTTAGTAACTTTGAAATAGATGTGATACCAAATTCTCTTTAAGCACATATTAGCAATGATTGTTGCAATCTTCTTTTTGATGTAATTATAACCCAAGTTATTGAGAATAAACAAAGCATGAATATCATATGGAAATATCATATGGAAATATCATAAGCGATCATTAAGAAATGTAGTCTATTGTCTGATAGCTTGTGATTAACAATTATGTTAAGAGTTCATGTTTGATAGAAGAACATAATCTCTATTGATATGGCTTCAAGAATATTTGTGAACATTTGCAATGGAATATAATTTCCTCTCTTTGATAGAACTGGAAAACAATATGTATCTTTGTGAAATCATTCTGTATATTTAAAAACTTCAAATATTGGAATGGTTCAAACTGATTGAGCTCATTTTGAAAAAAAATCTCTCACTAAACATATCCAATTTTGTGTTGTTATCTCTTAAAAAACATTGCACAATTCCATCTTTTGTAAGGCATTCATATAATATTTGAGCCTTTTCATGAACAAACAATTGTTGTATAGACACAATAAAGCTAACTGAAATTAATGATGATAGTTACTTGAATGTGATTGATCAATATCCTATTATAGTATCTTCCGCAAGAGAACTCAACAAAACATGAATATTTCTTCAAAATCAAGGAGAAAAATATTTTATTATGATGAGCCAAAATACTATAGATATATATAGAACAGAAATGTTGTATGTGGGTTTTAAACTAGATACTTTTATTACCAAAAATGTTGTCTACTTCAATTACAATAAAGAACTCTTCGTATTCAAATAATTGGACGAAGAAAATTTAAAACAATCCTATTTATTATTGATAGTTTTCAGCATTAAGCACTATGTATATCTAATCAGTACAGCTGTAATTAGTGTTTCAATCTTTCTTGAAGCATTTTTCCTATTTTGTTTTATGAAATTTCCAAATTCCAATTTTTGGGAGTCGATAAGTATTAAAATGAAATTAAATCATCCAGTAAAATTCATAAATATGCATTTAATATCTAATAATTACCGAATTTCGGAAAATTTAAGTCAAAATATCTTATTTTAAAAATATGATATATTTAAACTTGTTTGAAATACAAATTTCATATCAACATCTGTTCAATAATAGAAGTAGATATTCACTGTTTGATTTTTTTGTGCTGATATTTTTTTGTTGAAATTTAGCCATTTAAAAAGTGAAGATAAACATATAGAATATATATGAGATGAAAACATAATCTTATAATTTGAACGCTAAAGCTCCAAAATCCATTCTTGAAAAATATTGATCATTAATTTTATTAATTTTATCAATCAAAGCATTATTTCTATCTATCTATGAATTGGATTATTAGAATATGAGCTAATAATGATTAAATATTTTAAACGACGAAAAATAATCTTGAAATGAGCAATTTCTTTAAATGAATACTCTTCTAAAACATCATATACTTATTTTGAAAATTGAAATTTTACTTTCATGTCTAATCTAACGTAAAAATATGCCATCTACAGTTATTCAGAGGGGAAAAAACGCTGTCACTTTTTCTAAATGGTATAACAGAATTGAAAAAGTCGGCTGTCATGAAATTGAGAATATCTCTCAATTTTTCAGAGTTAATTATCAATCCAACTATTTTGTATTATTCTACTTGATTTTTGTTCCTTACATTTCCAGATGCTAGTTAATAAAATATTTTATGTTTGACTATTGAATTCAAAATCATTTTCGATTTTTGTAAGCCCAAACTGTATCAGCATTTGAATATATATTTTGTCTGTAGATTTATTCGCTAATCATGTATCTCTCTTCATATTTAATCAAATTTCCCTTGGAAAAATCCCTCACAATAAGTATGGGCTTTTTATATCAATGACCAATTTTAATATTCCTCATGGATTAACATCCCTTATAATTTGGATGATAATCATCATGACAGAATTTTGGCATGAATTTCGGAGCGAATTTTGAGAAGAATTTGATCATTAAAATATATGGGTTCATATCATAACAGAATTGTAATATCAAAGTAAAAAATAGTATTCAAATTTCTGAATACAAATACATTTTTATATTTATGTTATTGAAACGCTCTCAAATATCAATCGGATAAAAAAAATGATAAAATAAGTAATAACAATCAGTACCAAGACTGAAAGATCTATTGTTGTTGGCCTTATACTCTTTCAATTTTCTATCAATTGCTCATTTCAGAGCTACTTTTTAAAGGAAGTAAACTTTTCAATAATTTCAACTCAGAAATTGCGATGGTTCTAGAAAGGCGGATCAAAGTCATAATTAAGCAATGATATTCTAGCGTTAATATTTTTATGCACAAGACACCTTAATAATGCACGAATAACTAAAATTTATTAAAAATGAAAAATTTTATTAAATTAGATTTTCGAATATAATTACATATATCAATATTAGTCAGTTTAGTTATATATTACATATCTATATTTGATTTTGATTAAATATTAAAAATTGGCCCGTTAAATTATAAATTTCAAGCATAGTATTAATATTAATATCATTTGAGCTAATAATTATAATATCCGCATTATATGTTATATTATATCATTGTTAAATGTGGGTTATGAATCATATTTCAAAAGATTTTGACAAACTTTATTGAGAATCAATATACCTACAAAAATTGTCCAGTTCTTGAGTATTTGTTGGACCATTATTGCTATACAAAAAATATTGATGTTGAAGAATTTGTTAAAAATTCTTCTATTAAAAGAGGTATTTTAACAAATAAAAAGGACCTGTTGCATTAGATGATGCTTATTCTTATGTAAAATATGCACAATCATTTGAAAACCCAGAGAAAATTTCTAAAAATCGAGTTTTTTGCCTGTGCTATTAAAAGCATATTTAAAGGCGTGTTAATTTAAATTATTCAATGAGCACAATAGTATACCCTCACATTCAAATATTTCTGAATCACTTTAAAATCTCTGAATTTGAGAATAGTGATTTTGTAAAATCAAAATAAATTTTCTATAACTGATGGTAGAGTGCTGGAAAACAATACCAGTTAATAAATTCAATTTTTCAAAGTACAGAAAATGTAATTTTCTGTTTGCTCTCAAAATTGACAGATTAATAAATTTCTCGAAATAAAATATAAATCCTGGATTATTAGATGAAATGAGAGTATTAAAAATTACCAGTCCAAAAAATCCTCTCAAATACAAAATTCAATATACCTTCAGTGCTGATTGAAATTCATTATTTGTAATTTTGCTGTACATACATTGTTGAACAAGATTAAATTAATTTGAGTAAAAAACCGGAGAATTTTAAATCAAAAAAATATAATTGATGGAAGGACTAGATACTTTACTTAATGTCTATGACTACCTTCTAAGTGGTGCAAACCCTGCTGTTGTAGGTGAGATGAAGCTGCTGTTCTACAACCTCATCACAAACAAAGTTTCATATCAAGAAGCAAAGTTAAAGTCGATTTCATTAGTAGGAGTGAGTGATCCAATCGACAGATTGTATTCCTTATTACTTGTACCTGATGAGCCACTTCCTACACGCCACTCATCTAGAAAATATTCCTCTTCAAGGGGCTCTAATTCGTGGAATAAAATTGAAGATCAAAGACTCCTTGCAGGCATTAGACGCTACGGTTTGTCGGAGTTCAAGAAAATTTCCGTTTTTGTCGGAAATGGAAGGAATCGTGGTCAATGTTCACAGAGATGGCACAGATCGTTAAACCCTCTTATCAACAAGACTACATGGACACAAGAAGAAGACTTACTTTTAATTGAAGCCGTAAACAGAGTTGGAAACCACTGTTGGTCAAAAGTTGCCCAAGAATTCAACGGAAGCACAGATGTTCAATGTAGGTACAGATACCAACTTATCTCAAAGAAATACCCTGAAGACCTTGGAATCAAACCTAGTGAGTACTTCAACAAGTATTATTTGAAACGCCCACCAGATGCAAAGCGTAATGCATCACCTGCAAAAGCAGCCCCACCTGCTCAGAAAGAAACAGCATCAAACCAAAATGACAGTGCAATCGAATTTGATAGCATTGTTGATGCATTCCAGCTGCTTGACCTCATAAAGGTTTCAAACTCAGATCCATCAAGCCTCTTCAACACCTTTGAAGAACTAATCAAATAATGCTTTTTTTGTTTGAATCTTTTTTTTCCTTTTGGATTTTTTGATATTGAAATTAAAAAATTTTTATTTAATTATGACTTCAAATCTTTTTCTAGTATATTTGTTGATGATTGGATTCGATTTAAGCATAAAAAATTATGAAGAATTTCATTATGTGTTCGATTTTGAATTGTGAATTGTACCAATGCTTCTGATTTGAAGAATAATCAGAAATAACGAAGAGTAGAATCGATTAAAATGCATCAAAAAAAATTTAAAAATTTACAAATTTTATCATAAAGAAGCGGTATTACTAGAAATGTAAAAGATATACGAAAATTAAAGATGAAAATAAACATTCATATTATAGCATTTTGTTACATAAATATATTTTAGTAAAACATAAAAAATAGATAGATGTAAGTCAATCGTAAAGAGTCAAAGTGAAGTAGATGAATCGAACGGACCCTTTTTTCATAAAAATTGAAGTTGTTTTTGATTAATCTTTTTGATTTTGTGGATAAGAAACAGCAACATTAGTAGATGGGTAGTAAACAATAAAAGGTGGTTCATTCTTTTCCCATTTAATATTCTTTGATCTCCTTTCGAGCTTTGATTCATTGTGTTTAATTCCATGATACTTCGTTAGAGCTTTATGCCATCTATTTTTAATATTCATTCCACTTCTACCTGGAAGGAATTGAGATATAAGTACCCATCTAGGTCCAAACTCTTTATATTTCTCGACAATAAGAAGATCTTCTTGATGGGTCCACGGATCTTTCTTGGTTTTCGTATATAAATAATTGTTATATCTATCACGACATTGATTAGCATTCCTTCCAGGAAGATGTTTTGCTACTTCAGACCAAGGAGAAATTTTTTTGTTTTCAACAAGGTCTTTGATTAAGTCATCTTCTTCTTTTGTAAATCTCCTGTGCGCAGTCGGCATTGGTTGGTCATCCGGTGGTTTGATCTCCAAGTTAATTGCATCTTTAATTTCTACCATCAAAAAAATAGATCAAAAAAACGATAAGGTTATGAACAGAAAAGAAAAACATCTTGATATTAAATGGTTTTACTTGTGGTTAATGGGAATTTCTCGCATATGTTCGTACATGAGCAAATACTATACCTTTTGCGAATAAAGAATTTTTTCATAAAAAAATTTTTTTAGGAATTAGCATATCGGCGTTTTGCGACATTGCCAAACGCCAGATTTTAACCCGACATATGAGCATAAGCTCGTATATTGGAATAAATTCGACTTATTCCATATTAAAGTTATTATAATAATAAGGCACTTAATGTGCAAATCTAATTGAATTAGAAAATGCACATTAAGTGCCTTTTATTGGAATATGTAATACCACATATGGAATATGAAATATGATTTGTTATTATTTGTTTGTAATCAAAATACAAAGATATTTTATATAACAATTAATTTTTTTTATTTTTTCAGCAAGTGTGGATAAAAAAGGATTACAAACAAATTGAATAGTTCCTATGTCCTTTTTTTGTTTCAAAAAAAACAATAAATTAATGATTTGTCTCAAACAAATAAATTAATGAATTGCAATTGATTTGAGTTGCTATAGACATTATAAAAGGTTCAAAAGTTTATATAACCTAGTAAATTAAAATAAAATTTTCATGAATTGAACATATTAGTTGGGTTCCGCTTTGGCAAACTTTCCTGTGAAATTTTTTGGGAAAAATGTTGATGGATATTTGGGAAAATTTTCGATGGTAAATTTTGGAATAGTTTTAGTCGGTTTTTGCATTTTTAAAATGTTAGTCACCTTTTCTCCTTCCAAAGTGAAAAAAAAATTGTTTAAAATATAAAAAGAATTTTTATTCGCATAGGCGACAAACAAGGATTTATAAATAAATAATGGGGCTTTGAGTATTGATCTGAATTGAATCAGATAATTAGCCGTAAAAAATCTTCTAATAACGATTTCTCATGCATGAAAGATGGCTATGAGTGGCGTTAATGAGGGCGTTTGATAATTGGAGTTGGACATAAAATTTGGAGATCTTAAATTTTGAGAATTTTGGTGCGATCTTACTGGTAAAAGCAAGAGTATGGAAGGAGATTGAACTGAGAAAAAAACTAGAGCATGCAAAAGAATCATGCTACAGCTTAGTTGAATGTCATTTATGCAAATAAAAATATCTTTTTCAAATTTCAAACAAATTTTTGCCACTTTTGAAAGAAGATAAGGTAACAAACATTTTAAAATGCAAAACCTAGACTTAAACTATGCCGAAATGTGAGCTCACCGTTACGGTTTTTTCTTTTTTGGGGCTCGCAAGCTCGCCCCCAAAGAAAAAACCGTAACGGTGACTAACATTTAGGAAAAATTTTATAATTTTTCCCAAAATGTTTATTTTATATATGCTAACAATATTATAAGTATAATTTCAAAATTTCTTTTTTTCACAAAAAAAAATTGATAATTGAATGGAACAAATAGTTCATTTTTTTAGATGTTTTCTTCTAAATACTGGCGCTTATACTAGATAGAAACTTTTATCGGTATTCTCGGCGTAATACTTTCGCCTGAGTGATGCTATCTCGGACATAGTCAGAGATTAATCTTTCGACGAAATGGTAGAAATATTTCTTTTGAAATATTTTAGGGGCTCTGAGCACAGCCAGAAGGTCTCCGCCATTTCAACGTACCTAGAAAATTAATCTCAATATATTAGTTGGTCGTCGCAGTGATTCACTGTTAATCATCACTTTAGCGTTGCTTCGCCAGCTTTAGAATGTATCTAAAAAAGTAGTAATTAATAAAATCTGTAATTATGGAATATTTTTACAGGCGTGAAGAATGTAAAAAAGTTCTAAAATTACGATTCTCGAACTTATTATTATTTTTGATTGGAATACTATTTTAATATTTCAATCAAAAATAATAATAAGTTCGAGAATCTAATTTTACTTATGCACCAGTTAAACTTTTATTTTTTAAATAAACTATTTCTATTAAAAGATTTTAAACTTTTTTTTAATTCTTCACAGTTTCTTAATTTCGAGTTTAAAATGATATATACTAGAATATATAGATATGATTAAATTGTATGAAAGATTTTAAACGTTTTTTTAATTCTTCACAGTTTCTTAATTTCAAGTTTAAAATGATATATATTAGGATATCTAGATATGATTAAATTGATTGGGTTTCATTATTTATTAATTTTTAACTCTATTTCAAATTTGATAAGATTTTTATATCTTTTAATCACTTCATTTATCAACATGGATGAACCAGGGGCGGCGACAAATTTGCCCAGCCAGTAAAGTATTCAATTTTTTTTGCATTTTTTTAAGGGTGCACACGAGAGGATCATGTAAACTTCAGAATTTAGCTTCTTAACTTAAATCATGGAATGTCTCAAAGACAAAAGTAGCATACAGCATGTAAAGCTAAAGAAAGATAATCATAATTAATACCTTAATTTTTAATATTACGCATTTTTAGGTGCAAAATTTAAAAACATTCTAATACAATAGAGCAGTTTCCAAAAGTAGCATACAGCATGCAAAGCTAAAGAAAGATAATCATAATTAATGCCTTTAAAGTTTAAAATCTTGATTTTTTTTAAAATCAAATATTTATAACTTTAATACATACAGCTTAAACCTTATACTTGTTTTCTCTTGTGAGAAAGCAATCTTACAAAGCTAACAATCCTAAAAAATAAAGAATTAAAATTTAATAATTTAATCTAAAATTAAAATCAAAATTAAATAAAATGAGTTCTTTGTAATAATACTTTCAAGGTAGGATATATTTTAGTGGGATCTATTGAGTCATCACTAACAGCATTGAGCAATCTATTGAACATTGAAATACTCTCGATTTTTCTTTGTCTTTTTACATCAATTTCTGCGTTAGTTGCTTTTCCATGATCCTAATAACACGGTCATCTGCTGGATTTTGATCAATTTTGAGTTTGATAACGAAAGATGGTATCACTTTTGTATAAATTTCTATAATAACATCATCAATTCTGAGATTTTTTCGATCAGGAAAATAGTCATGTTTGAGTGTTCTAAAATGAGCTTCGGCAATATTGTTAGTTGCGTCGCCTTCACGCCTGTCACGAGCAATCCATCTTGATATGTTGTAACGCCATTGTCTGTTAAAGTATTGAGATGCTGTTGGATCTATGTCGAGCAACTCCAGAACTTGATCATAGGCAGCATTTGCTTCTTCCTCATGTTCTGCATCTAATTTGAAGACTAAATCCTTCATCAAATTATATAATTGTTCAAATTTTTCTTGAGAAGAAAACTTATTTGATTTGCGAAGAATTGCACGAAGAACATGTACTCCGCACCAAAGTATTTGAGCTTGTGGAATGCTTTCTTCTATTGCTTGAGCTATCTGTGGAGCACAGTCCATGCTAATGTATTCTGGCTCAATTGTTACCCATCTGAGATAGGCGCACACGCAAACTTGAATGTTTTGATAAGTGTCTGGTTGACAAAAGAAATATAAAAAACGGAAAATGTGAAAATCTTTGATTTTGCCAGTAAATGCATACAATGGAATGTTTGATCGCAACAATTTATAGGTGCTGTCTATATGAAATGTCTTGATACTATGCGCATAAGCTTTGCCTTCAAAAGGCGCGTAATAGAAACACATATTATTGTCTGAGACTTCAAATGCAATGAGATCATCTGGAGATTCTTCTTGTACTGTCTGAACAAAGATTTGCAATAAGGGTTTCGTTTTGCGAAAAAAACGTACAATACGCAATTTCGCTAAAAAAACATTTAGCTAGCAATTTCGACCTTTGACTCCACTCAAGACGTCACTTTTTTAATTTTGCGGTATCATATTTTTGGAAAATCTTTATGAATATTATATAAAAAGTCTCTTTAATATCTATATTTCATATTTTTATCGATTTTTAAAGTTTTTGCGAAAAGTATTCAATTATTTTTGCTATTTGGTCGGGTAAATGTCAGATTTGCGACATTTTCTGATATGATATTCAGATTCTACGTTGATAATAATTCTTATAGAACCCTCTTGCTATTGTGTCAAAATTGCGAAACCGATAGCAAAAATATCTCGCAATATCAAAATTGAGATATTGAGTAAATTATGCATTATAGAGATTAAAAATCTGATTTGTGAAAACATCTCATCAGTTTCTAGCTAATTCAAAAATCTTTACTATCTTATTCGATTAAAATGAAAAGGGAATAGTTTCATTATGCTTTAAATGACAGCCTTATAATATAATCATAGTTTTCGCTCAATATGCAGCATTTTTTTTCGAAATCTATGGTCAATATCCTAAATACTGATTGCTTTGCATTCATATCTCTTACATTTTCTATACCTACATCACTATTCATTGCTATTCCTATCTTTTTCATTTTTGTTTGTTTCTCATAATTTCTCAAAAAACATGATAACTTGATATTTGTAAATATCATACTTTATAACGTAAATAAGAACTTGACCTATTAAGAAAAGCAGTAATGAAAAGAAAATCTGAAATTCATAAAAATTACAAGTTTCTGATGACAATTAGCTTAATTAAACCAGGTACAAGATTATATAATTGTATTTTCTATCCAATTATCCATATAATATCTTATCCAGAAAAAATAACTTGATCAATACCAAATGATTTTTTAACTAGTAAATAAAGTATTTTCTTTACACACACATTGTATATCATAGTTTTTTTTTGGTTTCGCAAAACATCCAAAAACAAATATGCTATAAAAGTGACAATTTTAGCAAAACGAAACCCTTATTTGCAATGACACAACATCGTCAGGAGAATATCTAGTTTGAAGAGCATGTATTCTCTCTGCAAATCGTTTGATTGCACGTGGTTTTTGAGCGTACATCTCTGGAATGAGATGGATAAAATGCACACATTTGCACACATTTTGACACTTTTTCTGACAAGCATCATTCAAATTTGAAGAAAAACCTCTAAATTTCATTCAAATTTCTGTCAAAA